AACCATCTGAGTAATAAAACTCTCCAGCGGCTGCCATGTGCCTGGTATAGCCTCAATAACCTCTGCCCTGTGCAGAAAAAACTCTACTTACTAATCAAGCCTTGTATGCGCTGGGCCGCAGACAAACCGCACTGTACAGCGTGGGATGGGCTAGGTATGGGTCATCACCTCAAATGACAATACATTGATCACACAGAGGAAAGACTTTGGGAAAGAAAGGAGGGGGAAGAGGAGAAAATGTACTGTATACACGACTCTAAATAGCCATTCCCAGATTTTAACAGTGACAAGAAGACGGCCAATTGCAGCCTCTATTTTTAGTCCTGCTGGCGGCCTGGGCAGGCAGCTTTGAGGAGGATGTGTACTTTTCTACAGTTCCTTCCCAAAAATCAACGCTGTCCTGGCTGGCGACAATCACAGAGCAGCTGTTGTGGCTAGGTGGCCCGGCCCCGGCTTGCCTCACCCTTGCAGCCTTCTGCCAGCCTAAGAAAAAAAACCTCCCTCGCTGAACCCAAAATTCACACCCAGCGTGCAAAAACAGGCGGAAGGCGGACACAAAAGCAAATGTGACTAAACGTGTTTGTGTCCGGGGAAAATGACACAAATTATGGACTTCTTATCAGCGGCTGTGGTGGAGAGGGGGTGGGGGGGGGTTCTAAATTTACATGTGGCAGGATGCCTCGGAGACAATTTATCTTCCAAATAACAGACACACAGAGACCTGCGTGACCTTTACCCACAGAGATCTCACTGCTGAACTGTTAATGACCTACTGTGATGCACACGTTTTGGGTACATTTGACAATGTAAATGCAGCTTTCTTTACAGAGTGACAATCATCTTGTCTTCACGTGCAAACGTTTTGTTTTTTTGTCAATCTAATGATCACAGACATTATTCTCAACTGCTAGTGAAACTTCAAATCCACACATCACTTTTATTATAGTGCTCAATCTGGAGAACAACCAGTAGTGACTTTAATGCAAATAGAACAAATCTAGAAAGTCCAATCTAATGACTATTCCTGCACAACTAGCTCGTTTATGATAACTGCTAATGGAACTGTTTATCCCTAATTAAGATTTCCAGTCTTCCTGTTTTTCCAAACAAGCTTACAGGAAAAGAGTCAGCAGCATGAATTAAAGGGTTAATTGGAAGAACACCAAAGTATTTGAGTTCCTGTTTTGAACAGTCATATGCGTTTCTATTGTTTGTAAGCATTTTAAAGGCTCATCTGACATCTACCGGTAAATGACCAATGATCTCATGCTTACTGAAGTTGTATTTGTTTCATATGCTGAATACTTGTTCCTGTTGAAAAACACCTCAAATCTTTATCTACTGGGTCAAATCAACAGACAGATGTTTGTTATATGCAGGTGTGCACATTGGGGTCATCTTTGGGTTTATTGATTGATTACTTTTCAGTTGTTGGAGGCGTAACAAAGCAAAAATAAAAAAAGGAACCACTATAAAAGCTGGTTTACCTTTACAGAGATTAGGGACTACTGATATTCTTTCAGAAAAGATTCTATTTGTTTGTACTTTCAGTTTTTTGGTAACTTCCTTTCAAAAAAGAGAATGTAATTGGAACTATTGTTGACTTAAGCTAAACACTTTATGAATGTGATCTTTGCACACAGTACACACAGTGACTCAGAGTTCACACAGTGAGGGGCTTTGTGTGTGTGTTTTTTTTTTTTTTTAATCAGACAGTGAGCTGGAGTGAGCATGGTTTGGATTAACACCTTGATAACAGCCGTGTGAAAGCTGACTTCAATTTCCTGTGGACTTTATCATCCACTGTAAAATATCAGAGTTATGAAAACCTTCCATTTTCTCCCGGACTAGAGGGAAAACTCTTCACTTTAACACGACTTTAATCTTCGATCCTGACCTGCTCCTTTTTTTTTGTACTTCACCACAAAACAATGACAGTTTATCTTCTTCATATGTACACACACGGTCAATAAGGTATCACTGCGAGGACTAATTGTTGACAGGTGGCTCTAATGCTCTCCTTTGAAACTAAAGTGTGATTTACGACCTCGCTCCCCAAGACCCCGGCTTTCAGCGCTGCTACTACCAACTTATCTTTCTCTCCCTCGGCCTGTCGCTGCCCCTCCTTTACTCCTCATGTTCTATCTCTCCTTCGTTTTTCTCTATTGCACCTCATTACTTTGCTCGCTCACTTTCACCTCCTCCCTCTCTTTGATGTTTTTTCTGTCGCTCTGCGTCTCTCATCGCCGGCCGAGCGGTGACTCTCCGAAGTCAGACATGCTTTTAATGTTTGATGGCCTATTTTTCACAGAGCGGAGGAATGTGTGTGTGTTTTTCTTCTTTTTTTTTTGGTGTGGGGGTTTACAGAAGGGTCTGGGTCTAGACGAGGAAGACAGGAAGGAGAGAGGAAGCAAGGGCGCCTTCTTACAAAAGCGTGTGTGAATGTGTGTGCACGTGGCCAGAGGGGTAGTGCAAATGATTTGAGGCAGGCAGATAACAATAAGACTTGACCCTGACCTCTTGGTCCCAGCATCTTCTGTCACCTTCTCTGACACATGAAGAATAGAGCCTGAGAGCAGCTTACAGAGAAAGTGTTGGATGTGAAAAAGCACTTGTCAAAGGGGCAAGAGTGAGATGGATAAGATTTTCTACCTATAAGTTTTTATGTAATTACAAGGATTTTTTAATATTTGTGAACCTGGGAAGCATTTTCACTTACTTTGAGTTTTAAATGATGAATTCATGCAAAAAGTTGCTCCAGTAGATTTCTTCAGTCAGCATATGTAGACATACTGCTTCTTTCTAGCACTGACTGGCTCATGCTGTTATCACAATGTGTTTGACAAAATTACTGAAATAATCTCCAAAGAGTCAGACCTTTTAGTTAAGGACAAAACCACTTGTTACGCCGCCCCCTTCAGAGACACCAGACTCCATTGACCGAAACTGTAATTTTTACTTCTCACAAGTACACAAGAGATGCTGGTCTACCGCTGCCTCAACCTGTTTGTGCTGTTTGATTTTGTCTTCTTTTTAAATACAATAAAGTCTGAAAACAATTCAAATCAAATATACCATAAGTACTAGGATAAACCTGCATCTCTTGTGCTATGCAATTAATAAATTAGCTTTTTATTTTTATTTTTTATTTTTAAATCAAGCAATTTAAGTGGAAGTTTTCTGATTTGGTATATTTTTTCATGAAATTTGAAATTTCAGCTGTAACAGTCCATTGCTGCTGCAAGCTAAATAAATCTCCTACACTACTTTTAGCACCTTTAAGTCATTTAGACCTCCACATTCATTATGATAGGGCCATGGTTAAAATAAGAATTCCATTTTTTAAATGCTGCTAATACACAGAATTGTTCCAGTCCGTTGAACGGTTAAAGATCAGGTCTCCATTCATGTAAGCCTGAACCCAACACATGCAACACAGCTCATAAAATACATTCTGCTAAATTATGTAAAACAGCCCAGTTGCCAGTTCCACATCATTTGGTTCTCTGTAGTGTTTACCAAGTTATTGACCTCCCTCTGGCTGCAGTGAACCTGTTAAAACGCAGCGGTGTTCCTGGAAAATCAATGACTAATAAGAACTGTGATATTTTACACTGAGTCACACCTCCGGGGTCACGCAGTGCAGCTGACACAAGAGTGTGTGTTTTTTTATCTACTGTGTATCTACTGTATGCCAAGTGGGGACACACAGACAGGGTGCTGTTTGACCAACAAGGGAGACAAGGTTGTGGCAGACAGATCTGAGTACCTGGAACATAGCTACTGAGACAGCCAGTAGCTGGAAACACACAAACAAATACATGAACAAATACATGAACTCAACTGTAGCACTCTGTCTACTGTTATTTTGTGGTACTTCAACTTGTACTTTCTGTAGCTTATTGTTTTGGTGTTCTTCATGCATTTATAGTATTGTCCCTGTTTCATCAACTTTTATCAAGTGGCCATTTTTTTAACAACAAGTTATAAAGAACACTTGACAGAAAATTAACATATTTAAGCAATGACCTGTTTCTTCTTCAAGAGACCAAACCAGAGTGAAAGGCTGATCTATTATTAGACTTACAATCATCTGGCGGTCAGACACATAACACCATGATGCTGCAAATGAATGTCTATATTTAGATACTTTCACACACGTACCAAAGTCCTGTAAATGTCTTAATTTTGTGGCTGAGCTGCACAGGTGAACCAAAATGGCAGAATTTTCACCCGGACTTTAACCATCATTTCTCATCATTTCTCCTGCCAGCAAAATTTCGGTGTGAAGTCAGACTGAGCTGATGTGTGACTGCAGAAGGTAAAAGCCAAGAAAATTCACCACGGGCGAGTGGGAGGGGCTTAAGACTTTTAAAGCAAGCAACCAGTGAGCGACCGGTGCGATTGTTATGCACGTAGCAAAGCTGCTTCATACTCTTCCTGCACACAAGTATGTTCTTTTCTACTCGTGTTTTGATTCTGTGAATAAATCCAACTACATGTGGCTTTGATATAAAGATAAAGAAGGATCTATGTATTTTGCATCTATAATACTAAAATTTAAGGCATCAGACATAAAGACCAAGTTTAGATGGATCTGGTGGGTTGCTTCAGCAAGAAGCCATGAAACAGGGCGTATTGGCTGCAATGTAACATTTCAGGGCAAAAATATATGTTAAATTAAATCCTTTAAAAGTTCTTGTTTTTATCACTGACAGGCCAAGCTTATTAATTAAGAGTCTGAGGATCCCTGCAAATGTAGAGCTTTTTTGTTAAACTGTAAGATGTTCATTTTAAACCAGAGACAGCTGTTGGATCATTTTCTTTAGAGACACCAGACTCCATTAATAGAACAGTGATTTATCTTCTCGGTGGAGTTGCTGGTCTACCGCCGCCTCAATCAGTTGATTTTTTGTGTTGCTGTGTGCTTCTAGTGTTAAAGGGTGAATTCAAATCCAACACAATGCAAAAAGAAACTATGAAGTACGCCTGCTCCTCACCGTGCAGTGGAGACCCTGAGGGGCTGCTGGACAGGCCAGGTATGGGGCTACAGCGGCCCCCGATCCCTCCTGCTCCACCAAGGATGCATCCACCTCCTCCTATGACTCCTCCTGCTCCTCCTCCTAATGCGGCTGCCCTGTTCAGCTCCTGCTCAATCTCCTCCAGACCGGCACTCTTTTGGAAGCGAGACATCCGGTTGACCACTCGGGGGGACATGTGTGTGCGGGCGCAGGGTGCACCTCCGTAGGGGTTGACGGGGAATACGTGGGTGGTGCCTCGGAGGGTGCTGATGGCTACCCAGCGACTGTCCTGGCTGAAACACATATCCTGGACCTGGACAGAGACAGGACAGAGTCAGAGTCTTTTTTTAACAAAACCTACCTACTTTCATATTACCTAGAGAATATGAAAGTTTGTTACAAATTCTCAGCTTTCCTTGTGATCAACAGCCTAAAACACAATAATAAAAATCTTGAGGGACATCGGATCAGAACTCACACATGTTTACAGTCTATATAAAACATGAACATAGTCTCAGTGACATCTCCCATGGGTTTCTGAAGAGCCAATTTGAAGCCGAACGATGGAAGTAGCCATAATGGAAATTTTATTTCAACCTAATTTCAATAACTATAGCAACACGCAAAGAGGTGGAGCTGAGGCGGTGGTGGAGCTGGCCTTGAGCATTCCCTTCAAACAACGAGCACACCTGTCAGACTATTTTATGCAAATTTAAGCAAAGCTCTAAGCCTTAATAAAATCAAAACAGGCATTATTAAAATAGTGGACTCAGTTCAATTTAAAAAAAAAAAAATAGATATAGCAGTGTTTTCCCCTTTTTCATGCCGCTTGGTCTAAACACTTCTTCGATGACATGACCAGTAAACATTAAAATATAATCTTATGGTTGAAAATTATATTTTCCTTTTCTATTGTTTAACCCGTTAAGATATTCTTTTTGGATAGGAAGAGGTTAAGTGATATTAACTGTTGTATAACCATAGCTAACAACTTATCAGATGTGTTTTTATACCACAAAATATCCAATCATATATCAACCAATTAGAAAGCTGTGACACTATAATGATTTATGTGCATTATGAATACTGGTTAGATATATGACACATTTCATCTGGCGGTATATAACCGGTTGTAACCATCTCTGCACAACTATTTAGACATAGTACATTAAATAACTCCCAGGTATTTTACTCCAGATTTGGTTTCAGCAGCTTAGTCCAACTTCTCTACGCACCACCTATATTAACCAATCAGCACAGATAGATATGCACGGTGGAAATAAACGGCTTCAAACTGAAGTCTGGAAGAACACTAACGTGACTTTACCGAAGTGATAACACAGATAAACAAAATGATCTGAGGTGCTTTATAAAAGTTAACCAGGATGAGGGGATAAGACCATCTGTAAAGGTGACAACGTGACACAAGCTTGTTTGCTGGTGAAATAAATGACTCGCTTAAAAAACAAAAGGAGTTGACGGATTCCTTTGTTAGTCCTCCTGCTCAAACAGTGACAGACTCTCAGGGAGCAGACACTTGAGCAGATAGCATCTCCCTGAGCATGTTAGACATGCAGGAAACCAGACAGCGAGGGCGCAAGGGAAAATACACAGAGAAGACAGTGAGGTGTGCTGAAACAGCCTCTATCATATGATGATAATTTAGAAATAGATGCTGGAAAATTAAAGAAAAAAGGTCCAGGAGAAAAATTAGATAAGGAATGTCCAACTTTTTTGTCAGAGAGCCAATCAGAAAGACAGCTCTGTACCTGCAGGCCTCTCTAATCTCCTGCCAGCTCAGACTCAGTAATTGTCCCCAGCAATGACAGTTAATGGGGCATCCTCTGCATACCAGACGGTTACTTTACTTCACAAAGATGAGTGAAAGAGGAGGTCTGACCTCTGCTCGGCCTGATTAGGGACGACTCAGAGATGAGAAAGAGCGACTTTGTGTGCGTGTCGTAATTGGTCATAATAGACCTGTCAGAGCTCCAACTGTAAATGGCTGCACAGACTGCACTGTCAAATCTTTATATCAGGTAGGGGATTACCTGAAGACTTTCTGCTGTCGTACTGTGACAACCATGCAGGTATCAAACAGTGGTCAAATGTTATCTTAAAAAAGGAGGAATGTATTCAGTCCCTGGGTGGAGGTTGAAAAAGCCTTGTATGTGGAGAATGTGATGACATCCGTTGCAGTCACATGCCAAGAGACATGTTAAATGCTTAGAATTTTCCTTTTTTTTTTTTAAATCGGTGAAACTGAGAGATTTGGCAGCTCAGTTCACCTGAGAGGAACCCTGAAGGAATGACCAGAATGTGACAAAGATGGACGGAGGGATAAGATAGAAGAGAGAGGACAATTATAAGCTTTCATAATGAAGGAAGAAAACCAAACAAGGTACACTGCAGTTTGTATCTCCCTATATCCAGATTATGATATCAATATCGGATGGGATGCATCATGCTGGCAATGAAAAGCCTCAAATAGAAACTCCAGAGAGCTTCTAGTGGATACTCAACTACACAGTGTATCATAAAAAACTGTGATGTCGTGGACAACACCATGACACTCAGTGTTTCTGCTACAGATATTCAGATTTCAGTGTCTAAACTTATCCTTTTTTTTTTATTTATTCCCCTGCAACTTTGAATCTAATTAGCATACAAAGAACTAGAGGTGTAAACAGTTAGTAGAGGATTAAAATGTTTTAAAGTGAAATCAGTTGAGGTTTCTTAATGCAATCACCAATATTTCACTTTAATGACACTTTTTGCCAAAAATACTGTTTAACAATGGCAATAACTGGTAATAAAACTATATTTTTGAAGTTTTACTTATATCGGCATCACTTTATACATAGAAGCCAATCTTTAGTCTGTTGAATTTCAAGTCAGGCACACCTCATTCTACGTAATGTGATCAAGAGAAAGATGGAGGCATGGTTACAAGCCGTCCAACAAAGTAGTTTCTGCTTGAATTCTTTGCACCAAGACTGGCAATAACGTCACCTGACAGCAATGTGAAAGACGGGTGGAGATGCATTCAAGGACGCATGACAGCTGTAATTCAATAATCAGGGTTATTCCACCAGATATGGATTTGTGGCCTCTTTAGTTTAAGTTAAACTCTCTTACATTAAACTATCTTTAGTTCAACATTAAGACATGAGTACTGTGTGGTATGAAAATGAATATAAGATTGTTGTCTTTGCATTATTCGCGGCCTGATGAATCCTGCATCTTTTGATCCTAACCAGTAGTCATTTTCTGCCAGTTTGCCCTGTAACTCCGCTCTCTCCACACTCCGCTCTCCTTCAGTCACTCACAGCTGTTATCAGCTGCAGGTCTGTTTACCTGGCCTCGGGTCACTGACAGCCAGTCGCATGTTTGGCCGCTGGAGACAGATAAGGCGTCTCTCCACCCTCCTAACTGAAGACTTTATCACTCTTGGCTGTGCGTCTGTGTGTGTGAGTTTGTGGTGATAACCTCTGGCCCAAGCACTCGGCTGAGGCCGGCTCTCAGTGTTTACAACAGGTCGGATCAAAGCAGGCTCAGTGTGCAGCCGGTCAGCGGACCTGCCGTTTGGTCATACATTAACTGTGAGAGTGTGTGTGTGTGAGAGTGTGTGATTGTGTGTTTTCCCCATCAATAATCCTGAACCGAACAAGCCCAGAAGTAGTTTTGTTGTGTAAGGACTTGCACTGCAAAATCTCTGCACATCTCTGCACATTAATTATCTTTACCTGTAAGTCTGACTGCATTAACTTTGTATTAACTAATTCATATTTGCAATTTCGTATTTCTGCAGTCGCAAAAAAGTGCTTTTCCTGCTCATTTTAGCAGATTTTAGGTATTTTTCTAACACTGACCACAATGTTGCCATCATGTACCCAGGGTCAACAGATGGAAATGAGCTAATTAGTTAAATCTGGTACAAAGCATCTTCTCTCACTAAAGTTTATTTTTTTGTACACTATCCCTGATTCAAATAAACAAATAAACTAAACAATGTCAGCCTAATTATTAAATAATTATTATTTTATGCTTTGGCAATATATTTACACATTCATGACACTTTTATTGAATTGAAATTGAACTACCGTAATCAAGATGAATATGTTATATTCTACTGAAAAACAAAAGTTATTATTATGAATACTGATTTTTTTTTACTGTTAAATCGTTGTTTTAGTTTGTTAATTAAAAAAGAACAACAATATATCCAATTCTTCCAGACAAAAACAGAACACTCACAAAGTAAAAGTTGCAAAAACACTCTTCATCAAACATTACAACAGCACGTTACAGAGCTCTTAAACTTCAGCCCTAGAGATTCTCAGAAAGAGAATATGTGAAAGGGGCAGTGCTTTTAACATCAGATTGAAATAAAAAAACAAAACTATGAACAGAATCTCCTTCTGAACAGGTTGTTGTTGCTGACCTGCACTAAGAACCCGAGAAGAACAGGACCTGGACTATTTCTGGGTGCTAAAAAAACATCATTAAGTTGCATCATCATCGTCCTTCTGTCTGTCTTTGACCTTTAGCCCCTTTGATTTCAGCTTGAATCATTACTCTTTCTGTATTTCTGGTAGAGAGTCTTGTGTTTAATGTGGCGAGAGCAGCTTCACCGGTATAAAATATAACTAAAATATCTGATGTCTGATGGGATGCAGCGACTGATCCGACAACATCAAATAACAAATTAAAACAGCAACTTATTTGGAAGCTAAAATCAATTCTAAGACTTTCCACAGTAAATGTTCATCACCTTGTTAAAGCTACTTAAATGAATTGTAATATGTGTGTGTTTAACGTCTCACAGACCTTGGCTTCAGTTTCCCCGCGGTGCAGGGTGTAAAGATGATGAACGGCGCTCTGTGAGGACGCCCATGGATGGGTGAGAATCTGGAAGACGTGAAAATCGTGGCCCAGGGTGTCGGCAGTCACCAGCAGCATCCCTATAATAAAGACAAACGAGGCTATCAGCATCAGGAAATAGTCCTCCAGCATGCTTCAAAATAAACAGGTTATCATCATCACAACATTTGGAACTGTACTTATAACATACTTCTGAACATGAATCTTACTTTAGGATGTTTTTTTAAATGGTGCTTTTACAAATGCAAAAAAAACTCCTGAAAACTTCTGGAACTTATCGAAGTGAGCTGCATGTGTGGACACAAACAGTCGAATCTTTCACTTTTCCCTGCCAGCCCCTTGGTATATTTTATGAAAGGGAATCATGGCGAGAGAAGTGATTTTGTTTGCAGGATATTAGTATGTCATAGTAAAGTTGTTTATTTACCATTTTAGAAAAGAGAATAATCAGCTCATTATTTGTTTCTATGACACATATATGTAAAATCAGGATATTTGTTGATAAGAAATGATTGTGTTACGGCAAAATCGTTCCCCAAGAACGTCAAATGAATGGACCTCCTGAAATCAATCGATGTTTGCTTCTATAGACAAACAATACTGTAGCTTTCCTGTTCTGTCAAAGTTGATTAAAAGACGCTCTCAGCTGTGTCAGTGTGGTTAAAAGTTGTCACTTGAAAACTGTTGTAAACTGATACAGACCAATCCAAACATTTAAACTGTATTTCAACCAGCAGCTCACACGGAGGCAGCAATCACTCCCAACTGTGCAGGACACATGCTCGACAGCATGACAGAATTACTGCCTTTTGAAAACCAACAAACTAGCCCGTTAAAACAAAGCCAGCTATCGTTTGTTGTTGTCATAAAACGGAGCCTTCCCCCTGCATGATCGCCCGGTCTGGTTCAAGGCAGGGCTGCACTTGTGTGCTACTTCAAGGGCAGACAAGATGATGAGTATCTGTAAAAGAGAGGATCTATGTTTTCATACATCGTCGGACGGCTCCGGGTGTGTGTGTACATTGACATGCACCGAAACACTGAACCACAGCTCAGCACAAGTGTAACCCCCACTGACAGGCCCATTCATTTGGTCCCGTTTTATTTGAAGCTCGTCAAACTGCAAAAAGTAGAGGCCCTCATCATAAACAACAAGCTCAACAAACCACACCAGAACAAACCCAGATCTAAACTGGCTCGGTCAGGGGAAAAATGCCGTGCTGCTTTTCAAGCACAACCCAAAAACCCTTCCCCAGAAGCCTTTTGAGATGTTAGAAACCAACCCCGGAGATTACTCAAAATGTTGGAAATGACTCACTGATACTGTACAGAGTGTAAGATTTGAAGAAAAAATTGTCTGTCTTTTTGAATGACTCCCAGACATAAATGATATTAAAGTAATTAGTATTTCCCCTCTGAGTTTTTCCCCTCGGAATCTTTTATGTGGAGGCTGCAGTAGGTTTTAATTAGTGGCCAGGCTTTATTGGGTGGTATGTCAAATGTGAAAAGAGGAGGCTGAAATGGCAAGACATTAAAAGAATTCAGCAACACATGCAAGGGTAGATGGAAAACAGTCCTGACAGAAAAAACAAGTTTGCTACGAATATTTGCACATTCATTCAGAGTTGAAAGGATTTTTTTTACTTCATATTTTTGTGTTTGACTGGAGAAATAGTTCTATTTAAAGATGACGTAGCGAGGTATTGAGAGAAGACAAGAGGAGTGGATGTGCGATGGGGTCATGTTGATTATCAGAGGTGGAGGGAGGAGAGCAGAAGTGAAGTGTGCATTAAGACAGTGGTTAGCAATTCATGCTGTATCAGAGCGACCAGAAAGCCATAGAGCTAAGGCCCAGGGCCTGTAAACTCTTGAAAACCCACGCCCCAAACGAGGTGCCAAGCCACAAGAAGCATTTGCGTCAACTGGGAATAGAGAGAAAAAAGGGACGGGGCCCTTCTAATTATAGAGTCTGGAAACGGAAGCGCAGGGTGATTAGGAGTTGAGGCGCTGCGGTCTGTTTATCTGGGAGCTTCCTCTCGCTCTCGAACCCTCTCTCCCCAACACTCCGCTCTTTCTTTTTTTTTTTTCTTCCTCCTCTCTATGTTATGGTCGGGCCACGCCCACCCAGTGGCTGGAGAGTCTGGCCCCTGGGATTTCTGACAGATGAGACTTGGCCGCTCTGGCCAGCCTTTCTGTTCTGCTGATGGTTGAGTCTGGGCTCCAAAAAAGTAACAGCTCAGAAAGGCTGGAGAGCTGCAACGGCGGAGGACTGGGGGTTTTGTGGCCTTGTTGAAATACAGAGGCCCTCACCGTGAGGCGTCAGTCGGTTAGCCCGCGGGAAGGCCAAATTAAAAAGTAGCTGAGCCGCTCGGTGGGTGAAAAGAGAGGGTTTCGGGGAAAACCAGAGGCTGGCTGGAGCAGGGTTTGACACATCCTATTTATAACACCTCGTCCCAGAGGTTACAGTGTTATTTACGATGTTTTAGTACCAAAATCGCTGGCACGCGTACTTAGACGTGCGCTAAACTGGAAGGGATGACCTCTAATTTGCCATGTGTGCGAGACATGCGCCTGTATGGGACATGAGGGAAGTGATATAATCATTTCCATAAATAACCGCTTTTGCTTTCTGTCTCTTTTTTAACCAAAAATCTTTTTTTTCTTTTGTTTTGCTGCAGGCCTTACTGTCCCATCTCTGACCACCCAAACAGAAAACATCTGCTCAGTCCCATTAATACAGCAAGGATGTTTCATTTACAAAGTGGTTGGGCTAGCTTTATTTTTGACAAAGGCAGATGGAATACCGGAGTAGGAGAGCGAGAGAGAGAGAGAGAGAGAGAGAGAGAGAGAGAAAAGCAATGAAAGAAATGGAGAGAGCAACATAAAGGGCGGTGATTTCCCTGCTTGGCAACACAGAAGGCCACAACAAAACTAGTCCACTTTTTAATTAACAACACTAGGCTCCAAAAAAGCTTTGAAAATCAGGAAAATCTCAAATTATAACCATGTGGAAGACATAAGGCTTACATGATGTAGTACTTGGGGGACTCAGATAGCTTTACTGTTACCAGGATGCATAAACTTCAGAGCAAATGAGCCCAGCACACAAATGAAAGACTATCCATGGTAGGACCAGGACTTGTCTTCAGGGCTGCCAATATGTAGAGGAGGACAGGAGTCTTTGTTTTTCTGTATACTTACACATATGCTGAGCATATACAACACAGATTCACCCTGCATATTGTATATAAAACTACCTGAGGTGTTAGTGTTACCATGGGTTCATCGACCACCCATTCAGGATCATTTATCTACCAATGTTACACCAACTGTCCTCCTCTACATCAGCCCACAAATCCACTAATACCTATTGTTGTGTTTAACATTTTTTTTTTAAAGGTCATGAAGATCAGTTCAATTTATTCAAGAAACCCTCTTTGGCAAACTTGGCCTTGGATCTCTAAAAGATTCCAATGGTTTCATGGTTCCAATGGTTGCCAAAGTAATAGATTAATAGGTATGTGTTCTCAGTGCAATTGCGGCTACGGTGCTAATTGAAGGAAGGCGGAAAACGCCCTACTAATCCTCTCACCACCAAATCACCACACTAATTTATGAGCAGTTTTATTTCCACTGGGCAGCAAAGAAGACCTCATGGTTAGTCAGACACTAACAAGCCAAAGTCAACCTCCTCTTATATAACGAAGACAGCAGTGCGATTAATTACATATCTGTATTACAAATTATATCCCAAGCTTGTATTTTTTAGCTGAGAATTTATTTAGAGTCTTAGTTTGAATGTGTTATTATCTTCCAGGTTTTGAAAATGAGAGTTACTTACTCAAGTAATGATATAGTTCATTGGCTTTACTTAACAAGTATCTGACTAACATCCATGTTAATGGCAGGGTTAGGGTTAGTCAATCAAAGTGACAAAGATATTGGAGTTCAAAATATATCTGTAAGCTGGAGGTCTGTGAACCATTTGTGTTGTTCTTGCCCTGCCTGATTTTCTTCATCCAATATTGTTGTGTCAAATCACAGCGATCAGCTTAGTGTCTATACCATCCAAAGCAAGTCCCTTTGAAAAATATTATCCAAGTGGATGTGTTGATTTGGTCATTTCATGGTGCCTTGACAAAACTCCCTTTGTCATCAAACTACAGTATATTAACCACCTCTGACTTAAAGCCTTGTTAGCTTCTTAGCTTCTTTTAACTTTCTGTTGGTATAATAATAATAATGTATATTTTATTGATCCCGCGAGGGGAAATTCGTTTTTACACTCTGTCTAGTTAACATGCTACACAAACATAGGCTGAAATACACACACATGCACAAACAGGAACCTATAGACACTATAGGCACTAATGGAGAGGTTTCAGAGTGAGGGGGCTGCCTGCAGTGGGCACTCCTGAGCTGGTGGGGGGGTTAGGTAGTGGTTAGCTGCCAGGCCAATATGACAATATTGGCAGAGCTCAGGTACCTCTCCAGCTACCAGGGCAATATCTGGACTTGGTCTGTGCTGGGACTTGAACCAGCTACCCTCCGATTCCCAACCCAAGTCCCTACAGACTGAGCTACTGCCGCCCGAGCTACTGAGCTACTGCCGTATGCTTACAACAGTTTATTTAAACAAAACATAGAATCAGCTAACATCAACTGGGCATTTTTTTTCTTGGGTACTACTGAATTCTAAATAATTAATGGGGGAAGGGGACGGGGACAGTGGGTATTGTCTTTGACATGAGCCCTACTTTTGAGTTCCAACAAAATATTTGTGTCAAACAATAAAGAACATGGTATCCAGTCAGCAAAAGGCTGACTTAAGGATTTTGTGCACTACATGCATTGGTAGTGTATTTTATTAAATAATCTCATCCTGGGGCACCGGATAACCTCGTGGTTATTTTGTGCACCCCATATACAGAGGCCATAGCCCTCGCCGCAGCGTCCAAGGGTTTCAAATATGCCACCGGCCCTTTGCTGCATGTCGTCTCCCACTCTCTCCTCCCAACATTTCCTGTCTCTCTTCAGCTGTTCTATCTAATGAAGCCCAACAGCTCTATTCCCCAATGGG